GTATGTGAGGGTGGGGGTGAGTGTCAGGGTCTAGGTGAGTGTGAGTGTGAGTGTGGGTGTGGGTGTGGGTGTGGGGTGAGTGTGTGAGGGTGGGGTGAGGGTGAGGGCGAAGGTGTGGGCTGGGGCAGCGCAGGGAAAGGCTCACTGAGCATACCAGCTGGGGGTGCATCTGGATCCAGGTGGGCAGGTGACAAGAGTTCATGGTGGAGCTAGTACCAGGGCATCTAAGGCTCAGCCAACGGGGTGGTTCACGGTTTCACCCTTTTAGACCATGCTGCTCAGGCGACCAGAGTGCCAAGAACTCAGCTCTCTGGGGTGTCCCAGGCTGCGGCCTTCAGAAGTAGATCGCCAGACATCTCCTTTGCGGCACTTCTGGGTCGACTTCCAATCTTTTGGTCAGCAGCCAAGGGCTTAGCTGGGGCTGCCCAGGCTGGTGGGTCTCTGAGAGCAGAGGGAGGCCCTTCAGGACCACGGAGAGCGCCCGGAGTCCGTAGACTTCAACCCGCCCCTAGGAGCGGTCTCCGCCTTTGGGGAGATCTTGCTCTACGTTTAGCGGAGCAAGAATGCTCGCTGTCCAGAAGGTGTTCAGAGTGAGGGCCAGCCCTCCAGCCCCGCAGGCCTCAGCCAGGGAGTTCTTTCGTTTTTCAGTTGGGGAATGCTTAATTTATTTTGTTCATATTCTAGTCTAAAATCAAACCCAAGCCCACAGCCACCCTGTCACAGGAGATGTCTGAGGCTGCTGCTCGGAGCTGGAGCCCCAGCGGCTGGGCTGGGGGTGTTGGACCGCTGACTGTGCAGTTAGCAACCCAGCGTTTGCCCCTACTTACAGTCTGAATCACGATGAGACAGGCAGCTGGAAGCCTCTTCCAGAAAGAAAGCCCCGCCCATGCTCCTGCTCCCCAGAACCCCTGCAGCTGCTACCAGGGCACTGACCTCTGGGCTGCTCATTCTGCAGACATTTGTGCGCGGGAATGACACCCATTAACTCTGCCCTGGGCACAGCCTCACCCACGTGGAGCCCCGACAGAGCAGGGGTGCTACTGTGGGTACCCCTACACAGAGCCCCCGTCTGGACAGGGGCGTTACTGGGGGAACCCCTACACAGAGCCCCCATCAGAGAAGGGGTATTATTGCCCAAAATGATCAATTCAAGAGGAATGGGGTAACATTCATCATAAAAAAGGACATTTCAAGATATATCTTGAAGTATAATGCTGTCTGCAACAGTAAAATGTCTATCCTCATATAAGGAAATCCAGTCAGTACAACTATTATTCAATTTATGTACCCACCACTAACGCTTAGTGATGCAGAATGCTGACCCAGGACTCGCCAGATGCCTGTCCAGGCTCCACAGACCACAGGGAGCATTTGTGATTCACAGTGCAGCCCTGGTGCTAACTGCAAGGACAGCAGTTTGAAATCACCAGCTGCTCCCTGAGAGAAAGATGGGCTTTCTACTCCTGTGAAGAGTTAAGAGTCTCCGAAACCCACAGGGATGGTTCTACCCTGCCCTATAGGGTCACTGTGAGTCTGCCTCGACTAGAGGCAGGGAGTTTGGTTTCGGTTGGGTTTGGGTTTAGGTTGGGTTTGGATTTAGGGTTGGGTTGGGTTTGGCTGGATTTGGGTTTAGGTTAACTGACTCAACAGTGCTTAATAACAACAATATGGATTACCAAAATAACAACAACAAAAATAATCTGTCTTGTAAGAGGTACAGCTTTAGTGCTCCTTAGAGAAGAGGATAGGGGGTTTTCCACCTACTTTGCGTGTGTAACCAGGAGTGACCAGCCTCTGAAGAAGGGTGTCATGCTTGGTCCAGTGGAGAGGTAGGGAAAGAAGACGTCTCACAGCGAGGTGGATGGCCATAGAGGCTGCAGCAGTGGGCTCAGCATGGGAACCATTGTGAGGATGGCGCAGCACCGGCTGTGTATCTTCTGCTGTACACAGGTGGCTCTGAGCAGGAAATGACTCAAAGGCACGGCAGCAACAGCAAGACCTAGGAGGGGATCTAAACCAATGCCATCACCGCCGTGAGCAGCCGCCATCTGTGCTGGAGTGCAGCCCCTTGATCAGGTCAGTGCCTTGATGTAATTTGAAGAAAAACTCTGTGGGGGTGTGGCCTGTTCCTTTCTAAGCCAACTTTGTGCGAAAGCTGGTCCCTACTGTTGGGTTCTCAGACCTCCTGCCATATTGTCTGCTGATCCCAGCATCCATCAGTGGACTACCAACCTGGGATTCGTCTGACTTTGCATCCACCAGCCTTGGGCATCTTGCTTCATCTGCCTGCTCCCTTGCTTTCATCTTCAACTTCTGATTTCCCTTGATTTACCTAAACAGACAGCTAGTCTGTGACTGAGACTCCAGGAGTGGTGACCCCTACGCAGGTGTCCCCATACACAGGAGGTGAGACAGGGAGGCAAGGGGATAGAGAGGCGGTACCACATACTGCTGCAGTTCAGCCAAGGAAAGCCCAAAGCCCCCTAGCAGGCCGGGGTCTCCTTTGGAGTCTCAGGAGGAATCCTTGGGTCTCACTTGTTGGCCCTGCCTCCAGACTGAAATGCAAAATCTCACTTGGGGGAACTGGGTTGTGCCCCCCCACGGACCCACTCTGGGAGACCAAGGCAACCAAGTTTCTTTTCCAGCCTCCCTTCCTTGGTGGCTTGTCACTCACTTTGCACCTGAGTCACAAACCTGGGCCTCCTCCCAGGCCACCCTCATCCAGGCCATCCCAGGTCCTGCTGACCCCATACCCAGGTCATCCTAGGTCCTGGGATCCACTGAGCAACCCTTTGAGCTCAACACCACTGTGCCTCCGCAGCCCCACCTCCTCCTCAACCCTCCCCCCACCCCCCAAGCTGCCTTCGTCTTCATCCGCTCTGTGTTCCAGTCCGTTGTTCTTGGGATATGGCCCACCTGTGTGAAGTCAAGCGTGGCTGCGAGCCTATCTAACATGTGACACGCGTCTTCTGCTGGAGGGGGTCGCTGCGTGGGCGTGTCACTCGCGCGCTGTGCTGTTAGCTCGCGGGAGAGGTGGAGGCTCAGAGATGGTGGATTCTGCCGGCAAGGGTGCGTGGGGGTGTTCTTACGCGTCTCGGCTGACACTCGTTTGAGCTGCGGCTATGACGCGGTTCTACCAACCTCTTCCTTGGGGCGATGAGCCTGGGCGTCTCTAGATCCGGCTCCAAGGCTGCTGCCAGGCTCTGCCCACGCCTCCTCTTCACCTGTCACGCCCACCCGAGCTCTGCACTTGAGACCCGCCCTGCCGCCCTGTTTTTCAACCCGCCCTTACCTGCGGGCTGTGGCCCACACCGGAGCGCCTTCTGCGCTGCCCACGGCCACGATCGAGATCTCCACGGCCACGTGGGACGCAGTGCTTGCGGTGGAACTGAGGCCCTGCAGCAGGCTTTGCTCCCCGCCCCTCCTTCCTCGTCCCCCTCGCCGCGGCTGACGCCATACAGTCACCCAGCCTCGGGATGTGCCCAGTGCCCTTAGGCTGAGGGCCTGCTGGTTCGAATCTCGGCTCTGCCTACCAGTGCCGCACCTGAACCTCTGATCTCCGACCTCCGATTCACTCCTGCAATCCGGGGCAGACAGCCCCCAGGGACCTGTCTCTTCTGACCACAATGGACTCAGATGGCCTGCCCCTCCACACTCCCCCCACGGGACGCGAGTCCCCAGAGGGCAAGGATAGGCATCTCGAGCTCATCCAAGGGGCGGTTCGGACCCTGAGCAGCGCGGGGGCGCGCGGCCGCCAGAACCCCCCCTCCCCCAGCTCTACCCCCACGGGCGCACTGCGCATGCCTGGCCTCCCTCAGGTCCGCTCCCGGCTGGGTCTTGGGCGGGGCGGAGGCGGGGCGAGTTATGGGCCCGCCCCTGATTGGCGGGCAATCGGACCAATCAGAAGCCACTCGGGAGGAGGTGGTGGGCGCGCCAGCCGGTCGCGGGAGCTGTATCTGCAGCCTGCACCCGATCAGCCCGCGCCGGGTTCCCCCTCGCCCCCATGCCGGCGACCGCTCCTCCAACCTGTCCTTTCTAAGGCGGCGGCGACTTGGGCGGGAGGGGGCGGCCGGAGGATGCGGCGCGGGGCTGCGCCCCCTACGCCCGCTGCTGCTGCCCGGCTTGGGCCTGAGCGCTGCGCAGGTGGGTACAGGTGCGCCGGGCGTGTAGGCGCGGGCCCGGGGCGGGGGCGCGACAGTTGGGCCACTCGCCCACCTTCTGCCCCCGCGGCCCCCTAGCCCCCCATACATCCCACCCTTTCCATCCCCAGCCCCCCCCAACGTCACCCAGCCCCGAACTGCGCCGCCTCCGTCAACGCCCCCTCTTCACCCTCCTAGCCGCCCCCCCACCTCACGCCACCCCCAATGCTACGCCTCCCCCATCCGCTCAGAGCCAGAGGGGGAGGGGATCCACCCAGGGTCTCCGAAGAGTGGCTCGGGGGGCGTGGCCGGCTGTCCTCTGCCGCTCTCCTGACCGGTGGGTCCCTGAATGCCTGCTGAGGATGGGTCGGGAGCGCAGCCCACCCTGTCCCGCCCCAGCTCTTACACGCTCGCGGCCTCTGCCACGCACGCCCCCGCTCGAGGACGTCCACGTGGGGGCCGGGAAGAGGCAGGGAATGCGTGGTGACAGACTGGCACTCGCTCCTGGCCACCGCCGCGCCCTGGGCGCACTGGGCCCACCCGCGGCTCCTCTCCTGCCTGCGTCAGGACGCGCAGCCTCGCCCTAGCTCCATCCCGCCAGCTTCCCTCTCCATCCGAAGAGATGCTGGCCTGGCCCTGCCCAGCCCCTCGGGCGCAGGGAGCTCCATCCCACTGCCTCTGCATCCTCCCTGTGGCCCTGCCGGCTCTCCCCGGCCTGGCCCTCCCCAGCCCTCGCCTCAGCCTCTTCCGCGCACCCACACCCGCACCCACCGCCCTTGGCCTGTGTGCGTGCTGTTCCCATTCTGGGAAAGGCCCCCTCATCTGGCCAGCTGCCAGGTCAGGGGAAGCTCCTGGCTCCTCCTGAGCTGGGCAGAGCCCTCCCATTAGAGCCCTCTGCTGGCCTCTGTCTCCCGCGTGGGCGGGGTGGGCAAGACCACTCTTGCTTTAACTCCGCCCTCCAGGGCCAGGCCGTGGGGGGAGCAGGCGCGGGCAGGTGGTAGTGGCGCGTTGGCCTCTTTGGGGAAGGAGGAAAGAGTCCCCGGTCCTGCTCCGCCCTCCTGGGCATCTCCGCCCGAGCGGCTGAGTCCCGACCTTTTCAGCAAGAAGCCTGGTCAGCAGAGTCACAGTGGAGCCCAGACTAGGTCTCCACCAGCCGCTCCTTCAAGAGCCATCTATGACTCCCAATGCCCCTCCTCGCTGCCACCGCCCTTCCCCTCCTCCCACCTGGCACCTCAGTGTCTCCAACCTGCCTTCATGCGAAGTCCTTTTCCTGAGTGCTGCTGCTGGGGGAGCTCCTGTTCACACTGCAAGCCCTCACTTAAGCCTCCTCCCTGACCGCTCTCCTTGGCTCCACCCCAAAGCCCCCTCGATGTCCTCAGCCCCTCCCAGAACTTCTAGGGGGTCTTTGTGTGGCCAGCGCAGACCTGGACCAGGTGAGGTCTGAGAGCTGGCCGCCCTGAGGAGGGCTGCCCCCCTGGGGGGAGGTGTGTGATGCAGAGTGACACCCACCAGAATGTGGACCACACTCACCTTCCTTGTGGGAGTGGTGGGGGCAGGCTGGGGGCTCAGTGCATGGTGACTGAACCCTGGGGGGACAGCCCACCCGGAGCTTGGATGATCTCATGCTGAGCTGCAACCTGCTTTAACATTTCCGGTCTGACCTTTGGGGACAACGGCGGGGGTGGGGGTGGGTGTTCCTTGGCAAGATGGAGCATGTGATGTGTGCATGGTGCAGCTGACCTGTGGGCAGCAAAGTGAAGTGCACAGTGTCCAGTTTCTTATCATTGTGTGACCTTTGTCAGGAAAGGCTCTCTTTGAGCCCTGCTGCAAAGGGAGGGCAGGGGTCCCTATGGTTAGGGTGGGAGAGGTTGGCGGAGGAGCTGGCTGTGGGATCAGTGGGGGACCTGGCTATGGGGCAGTGGTCCCTATGGCTGGGGTGGGGCTTGGTGGGGGACCGGGTTCTGGGGATGTCACAGAGCAGAGACCACAGTGGTCCTTCCCTGCCTTGGTGGAAATGGGAGTCGTAATGGGTGATCTGGATAGTTGGGTGAGCCTGGCCTTCCCAGACCCCGCCTGCCCACCTGCCTGTCCAGAGAGTGGCTTCCACAGACATTCCCACCCGCTCCTAATGGAAAGTGTGGGTGTTCCCCATGTGTGTATGTATGCCAGGGCTGCCCGGGAGTTGCTCAGAGCCCTGCTGCGTGGCTGGGGCCAGTCCCTCAGCCTCTCTGTGCCTGAGTCTCAGTTATCACGAGTGGGGGGTTTAAGGGACAGGGATCTACTTTCTCAAAGTGAGGGCCTCCGTCGTGCAGGTTCCTCCAGAATCTCTCTGGGAGTGAGGTCCTGGTGGTGGCTGGTGACTCTTGGGGTTCCTTGGCTCCCAGACCGTGTGTGTGTGTGTGTGTGTGTGTGTGTGTGTGTGTGTGTGTTCTGGTATTTTCACAGCTCAGAAGTGATGAGGTTTGGGACGCATACCACTCCTGAGTGGCCTCCTGGCCATAAGGAAAGGAACTGATTTCCGTACTGGGTCACATGCTCAGAGAGTGTTTCTGCATATATTGGATCTTGCACAGTTCAATCCAGGGCAACCCTCCTCTCCTTTCTGGGGTGTGGATGTTATTCTCCTGAGGATCAGAGTCTGGCTGTTGTTGGTGAGCTCTCGCAGGATGATGGGGCTTAGAGGGTGGGGGTGGGGGGTCCCTCCATCCCAGGTAACATGCCCACCTCTGAGCCTGAAAGACTTTCTTATGGGTCCTCAGACCTGAACCTCAGGGCTTCTGTGTCCCAGGAAACGCCTCCTTCTACAAGAGCCAATGGCGCTGAAGGAAGAAGTCCCAGCTGCACTGAAGGCATTATCCAAAAACAAGGCTCCAGGAATGGATGGAGCAGCCACTGAAATGTCCCAGGAAGCTGACGAAGCACTGGAAGCCCTCACTCGTCTCTGCCAAGAAATGTGGAAGACAGCTACGTGTCAACTGACTAGAAGAGATCCATATTTGTAGCCATTCCAAAGCAAGGTGACCCAACAGAAGGCTCAAACTAGAGGAGGTTATCATTGAAATCAGGAGCCTGGACTATGAATTGGGCTGCTAAACGCAAGGCCGGCAGTTCGAAACCACCAGCCTCTCAGTGGAAGGAAGGCTGGGCTTTCTACTCCAGTAAAGAGTGGCAGTCTTGTAAACTCACAGGGCAGTTCCTCCTAGTCCTAGAGGACTGTGAGCCGGCAGTAACTCGATGGCAGGGAGTTGGCTTGTTGTTGATGCCGTCATTAATATCAAACGCAAGTAAAACTTTGCTGAAGATCATCTAACAACGGCTGTCGCAGGACATAGACAGGGAGCTGCCAGAGGTTCAGACCGGATTCAGAAGAGGACGTGGAACAAGGAATATCATTGCTGAGGTCAGATGGATCTTGGCTGAAAGCAGAGGACACCAGAGGATGGCTGTTTGTGTTTCATTGACACAAAGGCAATTCGACTGCATGGACCGTAATAAACTGGATCACCATGAGGAGAACGGGAATTCCAGAACACGTCCTTATGCTCATTCGGAACGCGTCCATGGGTCAAGAGGTGCCGTACAAATAGAATAAGGGCACACTGCGTGGTTTAAAATCAGGAAAGGTTTGCGTCAGGGGCGTATCCTCTCACCATACTTGTTCGTTTTCGGTATGCCGAGCAAGTCATCATGCTTGGTAAAGCGGAGGGCGGCGAACAGGAGGAGGCCCTGATGACTTGGACGGACACAGTGGCTGCAACAACGGGCTCAGGCGCAGGAACCATTGTGAGGGTGGCCGTGGGAGCAGCCGTGTCCCCTTGCTTTGTACGGCGGGTCGCTGCGAGTGAGCACTGACTCCTGGGGCCCAACCACAACAGCAGCAGAAGCATGGGTTCTGCACAGACATTTTCAGTTGCCAGAGGGGCACTGAGTAATTGGTTTCGGAAAGGGCGGTGAAAGGTCAACTAACTTTGGGAGCCTGGTGTGGATGGTCCATAGATGGGTGGTTTTGTGGGTGGATGGATGGAGAGATGAGTGATTATATGGGTGGATGGGCAGGAGAATGGGTATGTGGGTGGCCTCATGGGTAGATGGCAGATAGATGGATAGCTCTATGGGTGGGTGGTGGAATGGATCGATGGATGGCTGTATGGGTGGATGAATGGTGGATAGATGAGTGTGAGTCTGTGGGTAGATGGGTGGGGGGATAGAAATGAATGGATGGGTATAAGTGGTGGATAGATTGATGGTTGTATGGGTGACAGGTGATAGGTGGTGGGTAGTGGATAGATGGGTGGATGGATGAGAGGATGGATGGATGGATAGATGGTGGATAGGTAGGTGATTATTGGGTGCATGGATGGATAGAGGGTGGTTGGATGGATGGGTGGGTGGTGGATAGTGGATAGATGGGTGATTATCTGGGTGGGTGGATGAGAGGATAGAGTGTGGGTGGGTGTATAGGTGGTGGAGATGGTGGGAGGTGAGTGATTATTGGGTGCATGGATGGATAGATGGTGTTTGGATGCTTAGATAGATGGATGGTTGTTGGTTGGATGGATGAATGCATGCATGGATGGGTGGATGGATATGTGGAACTTCTGCTTTTCTCCTACCTCAGTCCTGTCCAGCTCTCCTCTGACCCCTGCTTCTTTACCTGCATGTCCAGATTCACGACCATGACGCCTCAATCTGCCCTGCAGGACTCCCACAGCCCTGGCCTCCCCGATCTCTCCCAGGCTTGTCACATACACACACCCCACTCAGCTGGAGCTCCTCAAGGGTGGGGTGGGCCACTGGGACGTCCAGGCCAGTGCTTGAGGGACTCAGCAGACATCTGATTCCAACACCTGCTCACTTCCCCACTGTGGGGTGGTGACCTGGTGGAGAAGAGGTGGCAACCTGCTGCTAACTTGGTAAGAACTGGATAGTTATCTAGTATTGGCTGGTAGTAACCTGACTTTGAGAAGCCGAGCAGTGACCTGGGAGTAGTCACCTGGTGGTACA